AATTATTCTCGAATAGTCGAATTCATTTAGTCATAGGCTCAGATTATGTTATGGATCTTGAAATTACATTGCCCTCTCCCTTAAAGTTTTTTTTTGAAGTTTTATTATGTGGTCAGTAGCTTCACGATGCTTTAAATTATTCATTATTATACTCTTTTATAATATTATAATTCTTTTTTCTGTCTTCCTACACTTCACATATTCAGTTGAACCGAAGTATTAGTGGAACAAGGAATCCTGGCGTTATTGGTGATAGACGATCAATTTCGAGAGAAAGTAACAGTTCTGCCCTCTATTACCACTAAAGCTTAACATTGCACAAGTTTACGTCATAAGTCGAGGACAAGATTTTTAATCTTTACCTTTGCACTGCAAATGATTTAGTGATTTACTCACCTTGCTTTAGCTACCCATCTTTGATATGGCATGGTTTCATTTTGTATCTGGTTTCATTATAGGTTACATCTTGAACACTGTATATTCTTATTAGTCTAAAATAGCTCTCGACAATGTAAATATGTTACACTTGCTATGGCACTCTGAAGATTAGATATTTTGCTGATGGACAATCCAAAGTAATGTTTATTTTGTCAGAACGCACACCACATATTTATATATAATATTTAGGAGAAAGGCACATAATCTCTAGTTTGCCATTGGTAAAAGAAAAAGAAAAACCGCATTCATGTCCCAATGTCTAGGTGCTTGGGCTGACCATTAGCCTGTTGCGAGTGTGCTCTCTGAATCACTATTATCGATGCAATAGTAATATGTTGCCTTGTTTAGAAATATAAGTGTGATGTCACCTTTTACATTTTTATATTCTTATTAAGTGCCAATATTCACTGTGCCATATAATGTCTTCCTTCAGGTTCTTTGACTGCTGATTGGGCTCAAGATGCTGACTTCTCCAATTGGGTAGATCAGGATATACTAGACGGTGATGAATCCCTGGACAGCAAACAATGGTGCTCGCAGCTGAAATCTTTGCCTCACTTTGGAGAGTCTAAACCACTGTCTCGTACATCTTCATATCCCAATCAACCACTACAGCACCGCTCAAGTGAACCTATTCTTTTACACAGATCTACTTCGTTTACGTCCTATCCGCCACCAGGTGGAAGTCCTGCATTGCCTTATCCTGCTCAAGGTCTTACACGGCACTCAAGCATTCCATCACCTGGTGCTGGTCACCACATGGGTTCTCCGAGTTCATCGCTTTCTGGTTCCCCATATCATATGCCTGGTCTATCTCATGGACTGCCTTATGGACGAAGCATGTCTTACACCACTGGAGATCTGTCAATGAACAATGTCTTACAAAATGAGTGGTCAAACCAAGCTGGCCCACTTGCTTTTGATCATCTTAACCGGCGGCCTAGTTTATTGCAGCCACAGTTATCCCTTCCAAGTAGTTCAATGTCTTCATTGCTTTTTTCTCAGCAGCACCAGAGATTACCACCAGGCCAGCCGCCTCTTCAGAATTACATAAACATGCAGCCTCACCTATTCTATCACCACCAATCTCCTGATGTTCCTTCACCAAGAGACAAGCGGTCAAGGTCAGGAAGAGGAAAGCACAACATACGCTTTTCTCAACAGCCTTCTGATGCAGGTAGCCAGAATAGTGAGAGTTCAGGGATAAAGTTCAGATCCAAGTACATGTCATCTGAAGAGATTGAAAGTATCTTAAAAATGCAGCACTCTGCAAATCACAGCAACGATCCTTACATCGATGACTACTACCACCAAGCTTGCAAAGCCAAAAGATCTGTAACTTCTCAGATGTCCAATTTCTGCCCTATGTCAATAAAGGACTTCCCCTCAAAATCCCGGTCTGGTGTTGATCAGCATTCATATCTACAGGTTGACGCTAATGGAGGAGTTTCATTCTCTGCCATACGTAGACCTCGCCCTCTTCTTGAAGCTGATTTGCCTGGATCTGGTGATGGTTTTTATGATCATAAGTCGTCCAAAAGGCCACTGGAGAAAGAGCCAATGCTTGCAGCCAGAATAACCGTTGAAGATTCTCTTCGTCTTCTTCTGGATGTCGATGATATTGATCGTTTTTTACAGTCTAGCCAGCCACAGGACAACAGTTTCCAACTGAAGCGAAGGCGACAGGTCCTGCTTGAAGGCTTAGCTACATCACTTCAGCTTGTTGACCCTTTTGGCCCCAACAAACCTGGCCATTCGGGTGGGTTAGCCCCTAAGGATGACCTAATTTTTCTTCGTATTGTTTCTCTGCCCAAAGGACGCAAGCTTTTGGCACGCTACCTTCGACTTGTCTCTGGAAGTGAGCTGACCCGGATAGTTTGCATGGCTGTTTTCCGACATCTTAGGAGCTTGTTTGGGGGCTTGCCGTCAGACTCTAGTGCTGCAGAAACAACCATTGGTCTTGCCAAGACTGTTTCCTCTTGTGTGCACCATATGGAACTCAGTGCTCTCAGTGCCTGCCTTGCAGCTGTTGTCTGTTCATCGCAGCAGCCACCTCTCCGACCACATGGTAGTGCTGCTGGTGATGGGGCCTCTCTGGTAATCAAATCTGTGCTGGATAGAGTGACCGAGCTACTGGCTGATCCTCATTCCGCAGCTAACTACAGCAGATCAGCACGTTCACTTTGGCAAGCATCATTTGATGCCTTCTTTGGACTGCTGACAAAGTACTGTGACAGCAAGTATGAAAGTATTGTGCAGAGGTTTGCCATGCAGGGATCCAGCTCCATGGGAGGACCTGAAACCACCAAAGCAGTCAGCAGGGAGATGCCTGTTGAGCTGTTGCGTGCAAGTCTTCCTCATACTAGTGAACAGCATCGTCAGACACTGCTAGATTTTGCTCGGAAATCTACGCATGTACCTGGTTTCAGTCCTAATGCTAGTCGTGGACATGTCAATTCTGAATCAGTTCCAGGTTAACACCACCTCAGAGACCCGATGGTCATCTGTTTTGATTTATATGGCACTTTGTCTTCAGATGGCAATTCTTATATCTGGAGGCATGCCTGTGACCTCATCATAAGGTGCGAGCTTGGAGAAGTTCCATTGGCTCAGTGAAGTTAGCATTCAGGATATGACTGTAGGATCGAGATGTTATAACCAGCCTGTTCGGCCGGTGCTGATACGATCGTATATGATCGTGGATTATTACTGCTGGCTGGTTTGGTATGAGAGAAAAATATTGTTCTGGCTGGAAATTTACGATCGTTTACGACCAAACGAACAGGCTGATACAGAACATCTATAGACTGAAAACCAACTTTATGTAGGTCTGTCTTTTCATACATCGCCCTCATGACGGTTATAATAGATTATGCATGTATGTATCCTGCTGTAACTGTGTAATGGTGAACAGAACATCTATTGGAGGTAAGCTAGTTGACTTACTCTCTCCCAAAGAAGAGAACATTAGTGGGCGGATAGCAACAACTTAGGGGGTGTTTGGTTTGAGGAATCACTTCATTCTAGACGAGGTAGTGCATCATTAACCTGCTCATCAAATTTTGTGTAATGACCCATTCCTCATTATCAGTTTGTGAGGAATAAGGTGGCGATGGATCAACTTGTTCCACTCGGACTCTGTAAGCCAAACAAAAAAAAAGCGAGGAGTGAAAAGATGGTGGACTATATTCCTCAAACTAGACACCCCCGTTTGTTTCTTGTGATGCTTGCTTCAATTGGATATATGGAAGGTGAAGGAGCGATGTGCTTGAACAATTGGTCGTATTTGGCTTACAAGCTACGAATAATATTTTTCTCTCACATCAAACCAACTAACAGTAATTTCAGTCATGATTTATAAGCCAAACCAGCCCAAACGAACATGGCGTTAATCAACAAGTTCGTTTGCTGCAGTTACTATTATTTGTATGGTTATTAGTATAGCTATGTTGGTGACACTATCTGCTGATCTGTAGTTTATTCCTGGGGGCATTGCTGTGCTCATTTATCTCTGTTCTGTAATAGGCTGCAAAGGATGATGCTTGCCAGATGCAGTTTAGTTTGTGTGCGTCAAGAAAGTTGTGTGGAAGTGGAAACGATTGTTCTGCAACTCTGATAGCCAACAAGTTGGCTCCGATTCGCTTCTGCTTCAAGCCGCTGTGGCTGCACCGTTGCACAGCTTCACCTGCTGCATGCATGCTGGATAGTAGCTTGCCCTCATGCTATAAAATTACTCTCTCCGTTGATCTTTTTGAAACCAAACTTGCATGCAGGTTAATTGTTGGTTAATGATTAGAAATTTTCACCTTTTTCTAATTATCAAAAAACATTCCATCAGAACTCTGAAGTTAAGCGTGCTTGATGATGATAGTAATAGGATGAGTGACCTCCCGAGAAATCCTCGTGTTGCATTTCAAAATATACACTTTTTTTTTTAAAAAAAAAGACCCGTAACGATTTTGGAATGCCACTGATCAAACTGACGTGACTCGGTTATCGTCGTCGCCGTCCTCTCACAGTAGTCCTTGGAGAGAATTCCTTATTTGACACTGAAGAAACGACCCGTTCCTTTCTTGGCCCTTGAAAAATTTTCGTTCTCTATTTGACACCGAGTTCAACTTTCGTTCCTTCCGTGACACTCCGTCGCGTTTTCCATCCGGCCACCGTTAACTGCGTTGTGAAAAGACGATTTTGCCTCTGTGGGCCCCACCACCCTTCTCCCTCCTCTCCTCCAGGCCCACGGGGGCAAAATCGTCTTTTCACAGCGCAGTTAATGGTGGCCGGATGGAAAACGCGATAGAGTGTCACGGAAGGAACGAAAGTTGAACTCGGTATATAGGGAACGAAATTTTTTCGAGAGCCGAGAAACGGGTCATTTGTTCAGCGTGAAATAAGGAATTCTCTTAGCCCTTGCCCGTATCCTGCCCTTCCTCGCCACGCCGCCCGCGTACTCTGGTTCGCGATTGTCACTTCCACTTCGAACCCATCGCGTCTGCGGCTCCACGACTCCGGCAATGGCGCCCTAGGGTTGACCGTTCCATCCAATTTCCCCGCCCGCCGCAATGCAGAGCCTGTTCGTGCCGAGGCCGTCTCCTCCCTCTCCTTTGGTCAGGGTGCGCTCCGCGAGCCTGAGCTGCGGTGTCCGGTCCAGGTCGACGTCGGTGGTGCGATGCCAGCTGGAAGGGGCGGCGGAGGCAAAGTCGGTGGGTTGGGCTCCTCCGGGGCCGTACACGGGGCGGGACCCGGAGGTGAAGAAGCCGGCGTGGCTGCGGCAGCGGGCGGCGCAGGGAAAGAAGTACGCGAGGCTGAGGGAGTCGCTCGGCGAGCTCAAGCTCAACACCGTCTGCGTCGAGGCCCAGTGCCCCAACATCGGAGAGGTAGCACCGAACCAAAGTTGCATATCGATATGTAGGATTCAGATTCGACGCAGTCTAGGCTGTGTTGCGGGTTCAGTACTTCAGTTGTGGGAATTTGGTTTCATTTCGTTTTGATGAATTGACGATGGTGGTGTGCAGTGTTGGAATGGAGGTGGCGGGGCCGGCGGAGAATGGGATGGCGTTGCGACCGCGACGATCATGCTCCTCGGCGACACCTGTACCCGGGGGTGTCGATTCTGCGCCGTGAAAACCAGCAACAAGCCTCCCCCACCGGATGCCCTAGAGCCTCTGAAGACAGCCATGGCAGTTGCGAGTTGGGGGTATCATCATCTCTGTCTGTTCTAAACGCGTTGAAGACGATGGTTATGCTGCAAATTATCTGATAGATAACGTCCTTTGCAGAGTAGACTACGTTGTGCTGACAAGTGTTGATCGGGATGACCTTCCTGATGGTGGAAGCGGCCATTTTGCTCAAACAGTCCGAGCTCTTAAGGTTTATCCCTTGTTGGCAAATGGTGAACTGGTAATTCTGTGCATCTACCATGCTGAATATATTTTTTTTTCTTTTCAGGAGTTGAAGCCTGGGAATCTGGGATATTGGTGGAGTGCCTGACTTCAGATTTTCGAGGTGACATGGGGGCAGTTTCATCTTTAGCAAACTCTGGTCTAGATGTATATGCTCACAACATTGAAACTGTGGGGAGTCTGCAGAGAATAGTTAGAGATCCCCGAGCAGGGTAACGCACATCTTTATTCATTTCTGTCAGAAGATTTCCCAGTTCCTACTCTCTATGGAATCTAGAGTACAATTTTATCAATACATACTCCTAGTGATTGTGAACCCATTTAAACCTTTTTATAGTCAAGTTCTACAATACAAATCATGGATGTCTGCAAGTCCTAATTTTGAAAAACTGAAGTCCAATGATAATTATACAAAACCAACTTTTATAAAACCAGTGAATCATTGCAATGGCATTTGGCTAAGTCTGTTTTGTTATACCTGGTTTCCCCCCTTCAGATATGATCAGAGTAACATGCAAAGATTAGCAGAGTGAGCATGGTAACGAAGTCCTCTATCATGCTTGGTCTAGGATCTAGGAGAGACAGATGAGGAGGTGAAGCAAACAATGGCTGACTTGAGGGCTGTCAATGTTGATATTCTGACCTTGGGACAATATTTACAGGTTTGATCTTCACCTCTCTAATATTTTTATCCTTCCTGTATTCCCCCCATTTTTCCAGCCGTTCTTGTTATAACACTGTACACTGAAAGCTCCTTGATTTTAAAGCCCACAGAAAGACACTTGACAGTTAGAGAGTATGTGACTCCTGAGAAGTTTGATTTCTGGAAGGACTACGGAGAATCTTTAGGTTTTCTTTTTGTGGCTAGTGGACCTCTAGTTAGCATAACACAATTTGCTCTTTTCAAACATTTCATCTCAGATTCTCAGAAAAGGAATTCTGTGCTTTAATAGCGTTCTTGAGAAACAAATGTTTGGTGGCCGTGCAACTTCTTATAGCATAGCAGTATAACATGCCATTTGGTTTTGCTGGTACGCTGTTAGCTATTCAGTACTCACTAGCACTTACCTTTCTACTTGCTGGATGTTTTGTCAGGTTCGGTCATCGTATCGTGCAGGAGAGCTCTTTGTCCAGAATTTAGTCAGACATAAAAAGAAAGAGCTTGAATCTACTAAGTCCTAGCTATATATTTTCAGGCCACTTCTGTTCCTTAGTAGCAATTTCTACACTCAAGATTGTATTAAGGATGGTGATGCAATAACCCGTCAATTCTTCAGAGTTTATGCCATTTGCATTTGGCATCATTGACTTGTCACGTTGAACATCCTGCAATTCCTTGTTTCCTTCCGGCTTGCTTAACACCGAGACAGCCAAAAATTTGGTTTGTATCATTTGCGGCAGATACGTCATACGTGCATGGTAAAGTGGCCAAATAATAAGACACTCTCCTTGTGTTTTTACTTTTCTTGTTTCATGGATTTCTCCTTGTACTACTTCATCCAAATTGAACCCTTGATATTGGTTTGTACGGACAGAGCAATTTCGGCATCTACCAGCAGAAAGCCAGCCGCAAGGTTTAAAACGCAGACGTGCATTTCTTTTCCCTGCCTGATGCGACCTTTTAATAATATTCTGATTTGTGATGAAGCAAAAGCGGAGAGATCCGACATCACGCACGTCAAAGGCACTAGGACGTGACATATAATGGTTGTTTAGCACAGGCATCACAACGGGTTGGTGGCGCAGTTGGCTAGCGCGTAGGTCTCATAGCTGTTGAGTGATCCTGAGGGTCGAGAGTTCGAGCTTCTCTCACCCCAAAATTAATTTGGCCGGAGCCGTGATGAAACGCTCTGTGACACATGGGTCGTCACGATTTGTCATCCTCGCAGATGATACGAGCACCTCTGAGCTTTGGCCTATTTTTTTTAATATTTTAATTATTATTACTCCTCATTTTTCTTATTACTCCTCATTTTTTTCTTTTCTTTTCACCACGCAGGCGGCAGACCTCCCGTTCAGATTTTGCCTACATGTATCAATTTCCAAGGCTCCTGCTAGATTTGCTGCTGCCTTGCAAGAATCAAACTATCAAAGGCTTCGTATCACAGATTTCTCAAAGTGACAGTAAAAGATTGAGAACGTAAAATTTCCTTCTTTTCCTTGTAACTATGTCAGAGTACTACACATTCATCTGTACAAAGTATATAGATCACACTAATAGCTGCAAACCCTGCATATGTTCAGGAGCTACAAACTGCAAACTGCTGCGGTGATCTACAGGTGATGTTCTACAGCTTGAATGCTGGCAAGACATCACTGCGAGAGCTCAGGAACGCCTTCTCAGTTTCCTTCGGTGCATTTCTGCGGAGCAAGCACATCACGTACTCCACCACCGCTGCATCACAAGGCAGTGTGATCCGCCGTCACCTGTGAACCCAAACTCCTCTGACATCCTCAGCAGCTCACTGAAGACTACTGTGCCGAGGTATGCCAATGGGACCCCAAACCTCCTCCCGTTCGCAGTGTACACGGTGCAGTGATCCTTTTCTGCAATTGATGAAGTGGTGCAGCATCTGTCGGTCTCTGGTTGCTGCCTTGAGCCTTTGCCACTTCCTTGCTAATTGAACGATCCTCTTAGGATGGATCATGGTTGGTTCTTCTTGGTTCGGAGGCGTGGTGTTTAGAGATGCTTTGTGACTATGTGGTTGTGGGAACTTGTGATGGGGTGTCTTACCTGCTATAGTTCCTGGATATATAGGTGAAGAAATGGCCCATCCCGGGCTTTGGTGTGGCGGTGGTCTCGGGACAAGGCCATGAGCTTCCTACGTGCTTTGGGGGCTGCAAAGGTAGACATTGAGATTCAGATTGGACTTTGCTGGGCCATCAATTCTTGCACCTGTGATGACAAAGATAGTGGCATAGTGGTTGGACAATCGGGAGTTTGTGGCAATCATGCTGCCCCTAGAGCTTTGGTGGATAAAGCCTTTAAACAAGGATTTTATTGGCCGACCGCGCGCCGTGAAGAATGCAGAAGATATCATTCGGAAGTGCAACCACATCCAGCAGAATATGACATATGCATATTATTATTTGATTAGAATTACATGATTAATAAGAGGCACGACACTTACAGGCACCAAACGGTCACCAGATGAGCGTCCAATTCTTTGAAGTGGTAAATGTTCCACATGTCCGCGAAGCCAATCATGTGTAGGTACGGCCCATGGATACCAGGCACATCTGCACCGATCTTCGCGTAGACCATGTTTATTCACAAAGCGTAGACCATGTTTATTCACAAAGCAGAGGCTGTTAGGAAGATCTCCATCGGTTGGCCCAACGGTTAATTGGGCCCTTATTCGCGCCCTGATCGGGGGCGTTCAGCCGGTTCTCCTGGCTAATGGGTCTCCGTCGCGCAGCGCCATAAAAGGACAGTGGAGGCTGGAGCACAAGACATGAGGTTCACTGTAGCCGCCAGTTCCCCACCGAGTCTAACCCTAGATAGATGGAGAGGGGCGCTGTAAGCGACGGGAAGCTCCATCGCCTTCACCGCCGCTACAGCACCGCGCCTGCACTGCTGCTACCTACGATGACCTAGCGGGCGGGTCACGGCTACCTCTACTCCGACCCACTATGGTTACTACGTCACCGGCGCCTGGGCCGCGACACGGTTTTAGTGAGGTACATCAACAAGTCATCCCATCTAAGTCAAGATTTACCCACTAGATCTGCACTAGAGGTTCCAGAATTCCTATCAATGGTATCAAAGCTGTGTTGCGAGTGTGTAGATATAGACTGGGGTAGAAAAGTGAAAAGAAATCAATAAGGAGATGAATCGGATTGAACCCCAACCTAACCCTAACCCTAACCCTAGATGGATGGACGGAGAAAGGGGAGAACCTACCCGGTTCCTCGCCGCCGTTGCTACCGCCGCGCGCGGGAAGAAGCAGCCGAGCCACGCTCGTCGCCGTGCGCGCGAGCCCCGGCCGAGGGCACCGTCACAGGACCGCTCGATGGCGGCGTGCTCACTCACTGGGGAGAGCGCGCTCTGGCGAGGGGACCCGCGGTGGCGACACCCTTCTTCTCCCGCGTCTGCTGCTTTGAGGGTCGGCAAAGGAGAAAGGGATCTGGGGTTTAGGGAAGAGCGCATGTGGGGGCACAAAGAGCACCACCGCGGTGCCGCGCGTGGCTCTGGCCGCACACGTGCACCGGCGAAGGGCACCACGGCGCCGCCGCCACCTCCTGCGTCGACCTTGGGTGCAGCGTCTGTGGTATGCGGTGAAGAGTAGCTAGAGTTAGGGTTCGGGGAGTGGAGCCGTGCGGAGTCAAGGGCACCGTTGCCCAGACTGCTCGACGGCAGCACGCTCAGCCTCGGGCGAGCGAGCTCACCGGCGAGGGGACCGACGGCGGCGCCACTCTGCTGTGCCCTGTGCCTCTCGTTTCTCCACCGCGACGCTAAGGAAAGAAGAGAGAGAAAGCGAAGAGACAAATGAAGCTAGGGCTTGGGCGAACCGACGCGGCGGTGATTTTTATTCCGCCGAGATTGTCGCTCGACCATCCGATCGAGATCAACGGCCGAGACTACTCGGGACTACTTTTGGCCCAAGCGGGGCAGCGGATTCCCGGCCCAGGCCCAGGTTGTGGCCTAGGCGCGGGGGGAGCAGGCACGTGCGATGAGGAAGCAGGCCGCTGGCCCGCACGCGCGAACACGCAATAGTGATGGGCCGAGCTGTATGCACAGTAAAGATTACTAAATGTTTTATTATTTTCAAAAGCAAATTTTGATGATTTTTGTCTAGTTTAAATCTCTGTCAAAATTTTAACCTACGGTACAATTTTTTCAAAGAGTAGATGGATATAGTAAAATGTTTCTAAAAAGTAGATAAATTATATTTTTATGTTTCCGTTGCAAAGTTTAATATTGATTATCTTCTAATTAAATTTGAACCAACGGGAGAATTTAATTTGAAGAATAGTTATATTTAGTAAATTATGATTATGTTTATCCTCTAATTAAATTGAAACCAACGAAAAAATTTAAATTAGAGGAGTAGTCTGTTTTGTTTAAGTCAGATTATGGTATTGTCATTTTCTGACCAATGTTGATGATGATAATATTATAATGAGTTCAAGTTTGAGGTTTAAATCTCTGATAAATTTTACACCAACGTGGTCAATTTTTTTAGAGAGTAGATAAGGACCATGAAATGCTCCTGAACTAAAAGAATGTATTTTATTATAAAGTTTTCGCTGTAATGATGTTGATTATCTTCTAATTAAATTCGAACCAACGGGAGAATTTAATTTTGAAGAGTAGTTATATGTATTTCAAGTTGATTTATGAGTTTTATGTATTAATTATATTTTCTGTCCAACGGTGATGTAGAATTGATGCAGAAGCACCATGTTTATTTAACCTACGAAATCACTCAGCTGCATGCCAACAGGTTGCAATGCTGGGCTATGTAAATGAAAAGGCTCGAGTCAAGCCAGTTCAGGACTATTTTTTATTAGTTTATTAATTTTCTGATTAAATTGGAACCAATGAAAAGATTTAATTGAAAAATAAAGTATAAGTAAATATTTTTATGATAAGAGTTGCAATAAGTAATATGCAAGTCTAATTTGGCCAACGTTGGATTAAGCATGCGTGTTTGTATATAGATTTATCTCGCATGGGGAGAAGTTTGGCATAGTACTTATGCTAGTCCATCCTGCATGGCGGGAGAAGTTTTGTGATGACTTATATGTTTTTGTATCCCGCATACCGAGAGAAGTTTGGGTAGCTCTTATGCTATCCTAGTATTAATCACGGCACAATAGAAATGCACCGTCATGGTCAATACTAATAAAAAAAACAAAAAAAAGATGCAAGCGTGACTTGCAAAAGTACTGCTAATGAAATACCTTGTTGAGTTCTTGAAGTGAAATAAGAAAAATGTACTCCTAAATAGATCAAGAAATAACTTTATTTACATGACATAATCATATGAATGAAGTAAGTTATAAGTGTCTCCTCGTTCACAGGTTTTCTGAATAGTTCTCAAAATTATGACAGTAAAGTTCATGCTATATTTCGAGGAGAAGAATATTAAGATCAATTAAGAAAAATAATCTTCATTAAGAGTGAGATAAAGATCAAGTAAGAAAGATACTCTTCATTAAGAGTGAGATAAAGATTAATTAAGATGAATGCGACCGTTGGAGGAGTACAACGGTCACAACAATGATACCCCTAAGTAGAGAAATAACTAAATTCCTAAACCATTTAAAGTTTCGACACGAAGATAGCGTAGTCAGCTTCAAAGATGTTAAGGTGGTGCTTAAAGTGCCATATGAGGATTTAACAAATTAAACCCAAAATAAGATATTTGAAGATACACCATCTTTAGAAAAGATGGAAAGATCTTGGGGAGCATGGTATGTAGAGGTATGTAGAGACCTAAGACTTGAAGGGAAGAGGGACTACGTGCCCACTCCAGTGACTCAGGAGCAACAAGTTTCTTAATACCTGTTGATGTTGTGTGACTAATACAACACCTGTTGTTAGCTCTTCGAAGAAGATGAATAATGTAAATAAGGATCTTGTAATACAAGAGCCTATAGAATCAATTGTCTTTTGGCAACGAAGAGCAACAACAGCCCCATATGAAAGTGCCAGTAGCTGAGGCCCTAGAAGGTCTCAAAGAATTAGTAAACCAGTTTTTCTGATGACTATGAAGTTTGGCATAGTACTTATGCTAGTCCATCCTGCTGCCCTGCATCGCGCTATCGCCATTGGTGCCACCACGGCCGCGCTAAGCTGCCATCGCCTCACCGTCACATCCGCACCTCCCCTGCGGCTCTACACCACTATTTGCCCTATCGGTGGCCCTGTCGTTGCTACGCGTGCGCTTGGTGTATCCGCGGCATCGGCACATGGCCGTACCCACTGTCGTCTCGCCCATAAAGGCGCGATAGCCGCTGATGCCATGTCGGTCGTGGACGCGCGCACGCTTTGTCCATAGCGCCTGTGCGTGTGCGTCCTGATCGTGCCGCTCGTGACCCGCCAAGGCGAGGACGAGCCGAGCGCTAACTGCCTCTCTCTCTGCCACCACGACCGACCGACCCCGCTCACCCAATTCGGCATGGTTAGATCACCTCAACTCAATTCGACTCGTTCCTGGCTTCTCTATTAAGCCACCTGACCCCCGACCCCACCCAGCCTTGAAGCGAGCATGACCAAGCTCCAATTTGGAGTTTTCCCTCACCGCCGTGTCGATAAGGCTGAGCTCGGCCATTGCCGTGGGCAGTCCTCCATCTGTCCACCCCGACCTAATCCAAGTGCACCGCTAGCTTCGCTTCCACCTCTACATTGCCCAGCACTCCTTAGCCATACCTCTACCGCTACCCCGACGCTGCTGACGCGGTCGTGTCCGCCGTGGTGTGCCGCC